GGGATGCACGCCGAGTGCGCTTTAAGGTTAACATTTGGATATTACAAAACTACGTCTACTGAAACGAACTTATGTGCTAAACCGTCGTTTTCGATTCTTTATGCATGTGTGTGTGTGTGTGTGTGTGTAAGCGCGCACTCGTCTGCATAGTGTGTATTGCGAGAACCGCGTTTAGATTGTGCCGCGGATTCATGAGATTTTTTCACTTTTTTATAATCAGCGAACGCGTCCATCCGGACAAGTAACCTTCAGAACCATGGTCACAGATGCAGTCGTACAAACTGTGCTCACCTTCGGAATCTTTCAACTTCGGATCGGCGCCGGCACGCAAAAGTAGATCGGTTATATTTCGGTTGCCATTGATACAAGCCAACATGAGTGCAGAGCTGTAAACAAATGAAAAGAAAGTTACCGTGTGCAAATGATAATGATCCCTTCCTCTCACGATATACCAAAAAAGTGATAATTTCACAGCGAAGAGGACCTGGGCATGTACTGATGGTTCTGTCTTGTGCTTTAACTCACACAAAACACCATAATTCGTGCACAGACAATGACAACTATTGACTGATCCTTGAAACAGGTAGAATGTATACTGATTAAAATGTATGTTCGAATAAAACAAGCCTCTAGTTTAGCAAGGGAGAATAAAAAGAAAGGAACAAGTTCAATGTGTAGAAACTAGCCTTATAAACTGGACATATATTTCTAACCGTTTCAATCTGTACAATAAAATTGACAGAATCTCTCAACAATTGGTTCATCCTGTTTGAAGTCAATCAGTTAATCATATGATTTAAACTGCCGCGTGCTAGACAGTTGCAGCCAGTTTGTACAACTGCCGTATAGCAGTTTGGGTTATCTTCCAGTTATCCATTTAATCGATTAGTGAAAAAGTAAGTAAGAGAGCTAAGTAGCTGAGATCGATACTAAGATAACGACATCGAACGATAGTTACTCATGTATGCGCATCAAGTGGGTAGATTCACGAGTGGTATTGTTTAAAACACAGACAGATCATTCAGAGCTTCAGACCGTTGATTAGTTTGGTCAGAAGATCTACAAGCAGAAAGCTTAACGTGATTTATACGACCGATTTTCCAGGTCATTGTTTGGTCATCCCATGGAGACAAGCACGCCTTGCCAAAGAAACCCATCCGTTGACTTATGTTAAACAAACGTCAGCCATCATAGTCTATGTAGATCGAACAATAATATCGGTCAGTGACAGTCGCTTAGCTCAAACTCTTTTCCTTACCTGAGCACTGTTTACCTCGTTACTCAACCATAGGTGCACAAAGCGACACTGATAATCCGCACTGATTTTCTGTCCCTAAGGGCAGTGCTCCTACAACAGAGTGAACTCTGACCCCTTAACGGAAAGACGAGCGTTGCAGTGATGCCAAGTATAGTGGATGTGTTTGATCATTTTCAAGTCTTGCGTAGCCATAATTTCAGTTGTCCGTGGCTCACCACCTGTTTGTCGTTTTCATGTGAAGGGCACTGTAAAGCTACTTTGATTATTTACTCAGTACATGCCACAACAATGTCCAACCTTTCTTTTCTGAATAATCCGATGGAATTTGTCACTTGAAAGTTTCCTAAAAAAAAGCGTTCACGTCAAGAAAGAAACTGTAAAACCACCAACACGAAAATAATCGGTGGAGAACACACATATAAACGAAGGGGCACAAACAGAACACTGCCACTTCACAAGCACTGATGATATCACCTCGACTGGTGATGAAACGTTTGCAAACAAATTGCCACGCTCGGTGAACAGGCGAAATGGAATTCAGTTTACCCGAGCTACAAGAACCAATTTTCAATATTTTTTCAACAGTTCGATGCTCCTACGGTCAGTACATGGTCAGTAGAAAGGAAATATAAGTCCCACCTGTTAGCACTGGAACGCACTATCGACGACACTTCACGCGAATCCGGTTGGATCGCAAGTGAAGCGATACCAAGGTCCAGTGAGTAGCATCGGGTAGCTGCGGTTACGTCCCAGCGCAGGTGCTTCTATGCTGGCCAGGGTGAATGCTACCCGTCACTGGACAATAAGGAGTCTCAGCGTAATAATTTTACCGAGAAAAGTGGTAGTTGGTAAACAAGTTAGTTGATATGGAATGAATGTGTATTCAGGAAGGGGGGCCGCGGCCAATAGAAGATTCTCAAACGACGGAAAGTAAAGTCAGAGGATAGTGACAGGATTCGAACACAAACTGCTACACAACGGGCTAAGGAATCAAACCACTGGACTTTTCGAACGTATTTCAAAGATTTATTACTGATGTAAAAATATTCAAATTGCAAATTATCTTCCGTGTATGCGTGAATAATATACGAACACCAACGGTTTTTGAGTCAATTTTTTTAATTAACATACACTTGAATATTGGAAAACCGTATCGGTAACCTGAAGTTTAGATGGCGCGCATTTGATGGCCGAGATCAAGTCAACCGTGAGAACGTTGGTTAACGTAGGAAGAGTGAATTTTGGCAAAATTCACAAATTTTGGCGGGCAATGTGTCAAATTTTCAGTTTGAAATAAAAGTAATTCTCTCTAAGTGTAAAGGCATAGAAAAACCTCGCACACACCACCTATCGATGCAGCTCAGGTGAGGTTACAGAACTAATGCCCACGAAACCCGCCATAACTGAAGACAGTACTGGTATTGTTGGTTGCTGTAAGCGGAATTTGCATTCGGTTACTTACTTTCTAGGTTTTACTTATCTCTTTTTTTGCTGGATTGGTACCAGGTATAAATTCAGGTGAAGTTTGAAAAAAGGTGAGTCAATAAAGTGCTTTAATACAGCCTTAGGTCTGATTCCTAACAGATGAACAATAATGTTACCAATAACTAAGTTTCAAATCCAGAGTTAAAATAATACTGCTGGGGGTGAGATAGGTATGCATGGAGGAGTTATCTGCTTTTAGTAGACACTTGAAGATGTTTGTGCATGGAGTGATTGGAAGAACGATAAATTTATTTAGAAATAAAACTGGGACAACAGTGAGAAAATGACTTACAAGCAAACTGATCACAATCTTTTGTGTGTATGAAGGCAATAAGGTGAGTGATGTGAGATATGGGTACACTAAAACACTTGCAGCAAAGCTTTGTATATTTGTTTCCCTCTGTATTGTCTGATGTAAAACTGCTTCAAACTTGGGACTAATTCGAAATGCACATAAGAATAAGTTCATTCATTCTAAGAATAGACATATCATTAGTTCTCAACTTACCGCTTCTTCTGATCCACACAATTTAATTCCGCTTCGTTTTCCATCAAAAATGTCATCATGCTGACATCTTGCATTTTTGCAGCAAGATGGACCGGCGTCAAACCGTACTTTGGGATGCGAAATAAAAAATAAAACAGTATTGTATAATGATGAATCCGAATTCAGAAATTTATTTTTGCGTACCTTTTTCGAAAAGTCCTGACCTTCCAGAAGGTGTTCGATTTGAATTATATGACCTTTATTCCCGAGAAACATATTTTGGATTAAACAATGGTTTCTCAGGTGCTCGTGAAGAAGAGAAAATATTCCACTTTTCCTAATCTTTCATGAAGTGGCGGTCAAGCATACCGGTCAGTAATTAGTTGTAACCGTTAGTGATCCACCTTATTATAAGTAGACAAATACTGCTTGTTTTACACTCGGAGAGCAGTGCACGAACATATCAGACAGTTGCGATGAAGCTGTGGCGAATCACTTTAGTGCAAGCGAAGTTATAGCGCCAAGACCAGGTAGTTGTATAGTTTCAGCCGGTTCAAGGTATCGCAGACATACTTTGGGGTGAACGGTTTACTGAGGAAATGAAGTGGAAAAACGTGACTTGGTGTATTTTATCCAAACAATACGTCTGTTATGTGGTTTTCGAAAGAATGACAACTATATTTTTCACTGAATAACTAACAAGGATTTGGCGTTTGAGACAAGGTGCTCTAGGAATCCGAGCATTTCAACATCTGAATCTCTAAGACAAGCCATCAGATGCAAACTCGACGATTTTAGATCAGCGAGCATTGCTTTGTTTATACTACGTGCCGAAAAGTATTCTACGTGCGATCGTCCAATCTCGGCTTAGAGTCCACATGCTAGGGAAGTAAGAAATCGTCATGGATGACCCAATCATCAGCATGAACCTTTTGATGATCTTTCATATTACCCAGTACATCGGAAGCATGTGTCCAATAGACCACTGCCATTGTCTTAAAGTCGCTTTATTCCGGTCTTAAATGACAACAAGGGGTCTTATAAATGACTTCACAAAAGGCAAACCTTCCCAGACATTAGCAAGATATAGTCACATAACCAAATAGTATAGCACAATCTTCAGATAAGTGTGTAATTGATCAGGACAAAATAGAGTGTAGTGAAAGAATAAGACTTTTGGTATGGCAACTGATTCCGACCATCGTATATCCGTGATAGCTACAAGTCCGCGGGAATGTTGGTGCAATGCTTCTCAAATTTACCTCTTCTATCTTTGGTTATTATTATGGTTGCTTTGACACCATGCTCATCCGCAAGCCGAGAATAAATGTCAGCATGCACAAGGTTATTCCCGACAATCACATGCTCTCTTAGCTAAGCCACAAATTTTTCCTGGTAAATTTGTCTTTGATGACAGTGGGACTGCAACACACTCGTTGAGTTCAGCGACAAACAGCATACACTGGTCCTCAGGTTGCTTACCTGTGAGTTATGGACTACAAAATCGTCCTTATTTTTCTAACTTTGTTCATGTAGTTTGCCTGAGTCGCCTAAAGTTCGGCTCTATCCTCGGGTAAAAGATTGCAAAGTATTTGTATTTCTCCATCTTTCAAAGAATGTGCACTTGGAAGTTCTGTCGCAGTTCCGTAAACTTTTATCAGACCGGCCTCAAGATGGTAAGCTTTGCTATTTTCTTGGCTTTTGTCTAGACAAAATGATGCCCTGAAAAGAATAAATTGAGCTACTGCTTATACATCCTGAATACCCTTCTAGTGAGACGAGAACAAAGTGATACTCATTCGCCATTTGTGAGTGTCTGATAATCAGGCACAAACAAATCGCGTATTTCCTCAATTATGCAATACCGTTCTCTGTTGGTCACGTTGTAACTAGCTCGTTTTTACAACCTTTTAAGAGAATCGCTGGTTTTCAGGATACGAGAGTTGGTCTAGTTCCAAAGTGGCGGTAAATTTTCGTTTTTAGCCTTTGACCAGAGGTTCCTACAAAGAAAGGCTAGAACTCATCTTTGTAGAATCCTAAAGAGTGAACTTCTTACTACTTGTTTTAGTTAGACCATTTTGATAGCTCCGGTTCTTGTCAGTACTTCTGGGGATGTACCCAAAGATGCCGGTTGTCGTTGAATGGACAATAACATTGCATTGACATCAGTAGCGATAATCCATTTTTACATAGTTGCAATCCTCAAAATAAAAATGATACAGACTTGCGTGGGATAAACAAAACGTTCTTTATGCCTTGCACAAAAACCGATAGCTTTTTCACTTTCAGTAGTATTTACGCATATCATGGCCACTTTGGTCTCGCACATCTAAAGATTGGTATACACATATCATTTATAAATATATATATATAAACATATATTATATGAAACTGACATAACTATTACAGCATTTCTAACAAGGAAATAATTATTTTTCAGCATTGTGTTCTCAATCAGTAAAAATAGTACACAAATAACATCATAACACATTTAAGCAAAATGCCATCATATAAAAAGCAAGCTGACCATGAGAAATGTTTAACTTTTAAATCCCTTTTCTTAGTTTTATCTAATTATATATATATAGAGAGAGAGAGAGAGAGAAAGAGAGAGGTAAATCAGTAGTTCTTTTACAACAAATAGATTCTCAAACAATTCAAGTCAAATTATCATTTTGACTACTGTAGCCGCAAGCAATTATTAAACATCCATGGTCATGATTTGGAATTTTCAATTATTGATTGTGTCAATAGTGATGAAACTGATCATTCAGCTTGGGTTGTTTGGAAATGTGATTATTGGTGTACAACAAGTCCTGATGCACCTGTAAATCAGTTCTTCGTCAGTGGTGGAATTGCGGAGTTTGCCGAGTTCAGTGACAATGAATGATGTTGACTTGTATTGTACTGATGGATTTAGAGAAACAATGATTTATGGCACAGATAAAAATATTGTGACAACTCCATTATATATGAGACAAAAACAATTTTACACTCAGTTTTAAGGATGAAGTAGATCTCGGTTAAAATTATCTGATGAGGAACAACCT